CACGCTAAGGCATAAGTATAGTGGTCAAGCTCCGGGTTCGAATCCCAGTCGAATACAAAATTTTAACTTTTGTTTTCTTTTGTTTTTTTTTTCGTATTTATTCCAGTGCTTAGTCTAGTTCAAGTATTTATCTAAAAAATAAGATATAACAAAAAAGAACTCCGAGCGAAGCTCGGTCGCCCGGGTAATAGTTGTTAAGTACAATATACATTAATGGCTAACAACAATTCTATACAAACGAGAACTTCCATACATTTTATGGTCAATTGAAATAAAACATTATTTACTAGCTAATTAATACTTAACGAGATACTATGAAGGCTTTTCAATAGTAATAAAATGATCATGAATTTAACAAAATAATAAAATATATAATTAAATATAACTTTGTATGCGAAAGCGGATGAGAAGAAAGGTTAAAGCAAATAAATACCACATACAAAATTGGTGATTGAAGTAATAGAAATAATGAAGAATATGTAGTACTACTTATATCTTATTATATTATTTTGACGGAATTCGAATAAGGTAGAAGTACCTACTCTTTTAGATATAAGTATGTTTTTTTTTTAGTTTACAAGTTTTATTGTCAAGCAAATTCACATCTCTTACAATTACTATTGGTGAAATATAGTGTCTTATCTAATACCTATCTATACTAATATTATAAAGAGGTAAAGTTTGTGAGTTTGTGAATTGTGAATTTGTGACGTTGTAAGGGGTAATCTCTGGATCTACTGAACTGAACCGATTTAGATAAAATTTGGTAAGAAGATAGTTTGAGACCCTGGGAAGGACATAGAATACTTTTTATCCCGGAAATCATGATCATTTATCGGGGAATGGGGATGAAAGTTTGTATGGGGAAGCAGGCTAGGGACGAACCCGTGCGAAGGGTGAGTCGTTAGTATTATATTCATACCATCTACGAGGTAATAGAAAAGTCGAGAAAATTTAATCAGCCCAAATGATAGAAATAATAAGTTATTTCTATATATTGTTATTATTTACAATTACGTTATTCCCCAATTTGATTAATGTACGGATATAAATCATCTCATAATTAACTAAATATACCTACATATCTGTCATTATCAATGACCATAATATAATGTCTATTGTATGAAATAGCTGAAGTTAAATTACTTTTGTTTTATTTGACAGACTTATTAAGTTTGAACTAAAATAATTATAATTTTCGTATCACAACAACCGAGCAAACGTAAGATTAAATACGAGTATGACCTTACATTTCTATAGGTTTCGTTATAAAACGGTGGCCATATTTAATAGCTGTCAACTAAATAGAAATATAGACGTGGGCGATATCGTAAATACATTTTCATCTAAAGTATATCTCTCACAGTGGACTTTAAGCCAATTACGCTAACAATTTTTTGTATAAACAAATTGAGTAGTAATAAAAGTTACGTACAATGTTAGGTTCATCTACAAGTTGAATTAATAAAACATTATATAATAGAAGTAAGTTTTGTAATTATCATGAACACGTTACACCTGGTGATACACAACAACGGCATACCAAGCCGCAGGCTAAGACCAGTCTTAAATAAATTTAAATTTGCTTAAATAAATGTTAAAGTTATTACAGTAATTCATCGTTTTCATCATTATATTTTATTAAAGTATCATTGTTTATTTATAAGCAAAATATTTTCTTAAAGAGTTTTTAGTAGGTACTAAGCCTTAGCTGTCCGTCTGTCCGTCCGTCCATCTGACCATCCATCCGCCAGTCCGTCTGTCAGAGGGATGTATCTCATGAACCGTAATATGTAGAGGATTGAAATTTTCACAGATTGGGTATTTCTATTGCCGCTATAACAACAAATAATAAAAAAGTCAAGATGACAAATTTCAAAAAGGGTGCCATGCAAATAAAAAAAAACGATTATGGTACGGAACCCTTCATGTGCGAGTCCAACTCGTACTTGACCGATTTTTATTTTATAATATCAGCGCATACAGAAAATATTTTACTAGTGATCTCATAAAACACGGTAATATTTATATTCATTTCTTTCTTCATCAACTCGTGAGAACAATGCCAATAAAATAGGCTTTTAAAAAATAGTTTGAAGGGAGTGATAAGAGTAAAAAAAGTTTGCAAAGTTGTGTGTTCACGAAGAAATATACATAATATCCAACGATATTAAAATATATAATATCATTGATATTATTATCTACATTTGGTATTTTTATGTAAAATTTTCACTGAATAAAATTTACCAATTTCTGTCATAGTACCATCAATATATGTATCATAGTCTGCGCGCTAGGTAAATAACATAAATTGAAATTTATTAGTGAGTTAAAAAAGCTCACGAAGCTGGTGGCAATATTTGCTTATTCGAGAATCGAATCCACTGCATGCTCAGTAGCGAATATCAGGTGAACAAGTGCAATTCTTGAAGTAAAATGTTGTATTAAAAGTTTATATATTGCGAACTTCTATGACATTTAAAAATGGAGGTCAGGTATGAATTTAGAGGTACAGCCCGCAAACCCTAATTCTATTTCAAAAGACAACTCGCTATCATTAATCATCCACGCACGTCAATGCACCAGAAGATGGATGAACGTATGGGTGGATGGTCGAAACTGCTCCCTACCTTCCAAATCATAATTACCCCTACACGATAAGGGCTTTGTTAGAATCAGGTGATAATTCCTTCCTTATTAATTTCAATGCAAGGTGCTTTCTTCGAGTTTTTGTTAAAGAAAGAAATGACTTCAAATTGTTTTTATTATTTAAATAGATGGCTTAGAATCTAATATATTTTTGTGTGGTTTCTAAAATATAATTTTATGTTATTAAAATTGTAGATGCAGTACATAGTTAAATGCCAGATTTTCTTTGTTTACTTCGCCTGATATTGAGTACATGTTCAATCCATCATTATGTAAATATTATATTGATATTGAACTTTATAACGTACTTCGGAAAAAAGTAGGGTCGTAATGCAATTTTACTGTGTTTCGGTACATATTATAAGGCTTTTTAAAAGAACAAGAAACCTTTATAAAAATGATTAAATATTGCAAAAGAAAATACTGCATTTACGATAGATCACTCTCTGTCAGTGAATTTCTATATTTGATGATAAGTGAGACCAAATATGTTTCTCTTATAAACACGAATGCCGAAGTAGGTTAAAAATACTGTAAACAATGTAACAATGGAACCTTTTAAGAAATAATCAAATTCAATTATTTCTTACAAATAACGTAACAGAAAGCTTATAACTACTAAAAGCGAGCGAGATACATTCGAAAACATCAAGTACTCGCCGAGGCGAGTAAAGGTTGCCATAACAAAAAAATCTCCCATAAATTATATAATTTATTCGTCGAGAAGACGGGCCAACGTTAACATAATATGTAATCATATAATCGCTTGCTTTACGTACGCCGCTTCCTAGCCATTAACCAGTCTAGATACTAAACGTCGTAGTAAACTAAACTAAATAACCCATTTTGAATGCTTAATCGTTTTTCGAAGGCCCAAGCCGACTATTTTATGTGTTTTGTATCATACGTAAGATTCGATTTGCATTTAACCGTTCGTCTGATAAGTTGCTATAAGTTACATCTGAAGTAACAGTGTTTGTTTGAAACTCGCAAGTCGTATTGAATCTCTGTTTTAAGTTTTAGTATCTCTTTATTTGTCGAATGTTGTAAAATTATTTATTATTTTACAATAGGTGAGAGAGAAATTTGATATGTTATTGGTTTCTTTAAAGGCACTTCAATAATATATAATTGTATAATAAATAACATTCATATAAATTTTGCATGTATTTTATTTGTATACATGTACATACATATATTGTGTTACCGTTAGAGTGCGTGTTATGTTATTTTCCACATTACCGGAAATGATCCGTTAAAATACAACTGATAGTAATATGCAAAGATATTATTTTTAACTTAAATCATATATTTATTTAATAATAAAATTTTATTCCGAATAGGCTATTTCTCTCAATATCGCGTGTTATTATGTATGTATTTACAAATAATTTTTATAGATTTATAATAATTGTTTTGTCATTGAAATTCATAATTAGATATTAGAAAAAAGAAAAATATTTGATTATAATTTTACGTGCCTACTAAAAAGTAAATGCTAACGTAAATTCAAAAGGAAATGTTGTAGGTAAAATTTAAAATTTTATGATTATATCGTGGTAATTGTTAAAGGCGCCGAGGCCTGTTACAATAGCGTTAAATATTTACACTCCTAATAGGAACCTATTTGAACAAATTAGTTGAATAAACTTCGTCTCAACAGGAAAATTGTTATATAAATTTCCCTTGTGGATCCCAAGGTAGCATGACGAGACGAAAGCTTATTTTCTCATTTAAAAGAATATAAAAAAAAAACATTTCATATTATTTTGTAATTGGTGATGTAGATCAACGGAAATAACTGAGGCAAGTGTGAAAGGACCGGTACGATTCATAGCGCTGGTCGCGAATTCAATTACCGCACAGGGTAGGTATATCGACAATGCTCCCTTATATCTTTAGTGCGAAAAAAAAGACGTGAGGATATGCAAAATTTGCGACTTCGATAGAAGGCTAAGAAGAATTTAAGGTTTCCCATTACAAAAAGTATATCCCACATCGGATATCTTTACTAATATTATAAAGAGGTAAAGTTTGTGAGTTTGTGAGGTTGTGGGGAATAATGTTGGGATCGACTGAACCGATTTAGATTAAAATTAGGTAAGAAGATAGTTTGATACCCTGGGAAGGGCATAGGATACTTTTTATCTCGGAAATTATCCCTTAAGAGTGTAAAAATGGGGATGAAAGTTTGTATTGTGAAGCAAGCTAGGGACAATCCCGAACGAAGCGAGGGTGAGTCGCTAGTAATAAAATAAATACTGAAGCTTATGTGTGGATAGGTTTCTTCAGCCAACACGGCTGAACTATGGCACTTTACAATGAAAAACAGTCGCAGTAAATTAAATTTAATTATGACTGTATTTATCTCTATTGTTTAAGGCATGTTCAAAGTGATGATCTTCTGCCTCAGGCATCGGCATCCATTGGTGTCCTTGGTATAAGTAAGAACGTCCACCACGTCCCTTATAGTTTAGTCTAGCCGCTTCGATCTGGATATATTTTCTCTTTGGCACATCATTCACTCGTGCAAACATAAACACGGTTTGTGCCTAAAAGTACAAATATATTATTATATATGTATTAATAGGATAAGACAAAACAGTTCAGAGTCCTTTGATTTTGATTGAGATTTTTTTGTTTTGTAGCTATTGACAAGGTTTATTTAATGTTATCAATAAAAAAAATGAAACAGTTTTTTTGTTTATACTAATATTATAAAGAGGCAGAATATTTGTTTCTTTGTTTCTTAGAAACTACGAATAAGAATGGAATTCTATTAGCATTAGATAGCCGTTATTGAGAATGACCATAGACTATATAACATATTATATAATCATATCTATCTATTCCATACTAACCGTTAAAACGTACCTTGGGATGAATCCGAGCAAAGCGAGGGTGAGTCGCTAATATATATAATATAGATAAATTCTACTCATATAGGTATGTCTTCCTCTAATTTTTAATAATTATTATGGTCGAATTTTGACTACTGGGCGATCACTGGTTAACAAAATCACCTACACTCATTTTCTGTGAGATAAGTTAATTATTTTTAATAGACTTCGTTCGATCTACTTTCTGATGACCATCTAGTAGAACTTATATCATGTCTTTCACCTATCTTTTAACCGTGTAACGAACCGTGCCAATCACAGATCAAACATAATACAGTGAAGTTCATTTTTAATTATTTTTAACTAGCGGCTCACCCTCGCCTCGCTCGGGTTCGCCTCTAGGAAAACAAATACAAACCTATTCCACTGAAACCGTACATTTTTTCCGGGATAAATAGTAGCCTATGTGTTATTCAAGACTGTAATCTATCTCTGTGCTAAATTTCATCCAGATCCGTTCAGCCATTCTGGCGTGAAAGTGTAACAAACATCCATACTCACAAACATTCACATTTATAATATTAATAACTATACGGACTACCATTATTTTTTTAAAACTTCACGTACTTTTTTACCAAATAAATTTTATACAAAGTTTGTGAAACATGTTGAGGTTGCTTGCGAATAATTGGTCATGTTACGGTTGCCTACTTTGAAGTTAAAAAATTGGGACAAAAAATGAAGTGCGAAGACGAATGATGACAGGTTGGGATGAAATTGAGTACATATACAACTAACCTGGAAAATTTGCTTGTTGCTTTTTCTTGAACTCTTGTTCTACACAACTGATTATTACAGACCTTAAGCAATAAAATAATTTAATCTTAAAAAACTTACTTCGCAAGCCATAATGCCAATGTAACGATTATCACCAGTCTGTTTAATGCGCACATCCACTGCGTCTATAATATCACCCTCTTTTAATCCTGAAATCCAAAACTCCTTAAATCCTTTATATGATAATTTTTATACATATCTAACACATATTTTTACATTTAAAACGAATAAAAAAACGTATGTGTGTACTTATGTACTCACGTAAGAAGTTATACTTCTTTGGCGTAACAGAACAAAAATAGTAAGAAATTTCAACCCGTATGTCACAACTGTCTGTAAAAGGAATGCAGCTAACTGCATTATGTCGCTTTTTGGCTGTCAGTGTGCGCGTAATTTGTAAAAATTTTACTCACATATTTTTTACCAAACGCGCCAAAAGCAGTATAACTTCAAAAGATCGGGTAGTTCAGATTATCGTCATTTTAACAATTTTTATTTAATACAATTGGAATAAATAATATTTGTTTGTATTCGTAAGGGTTACCTGCTGTTTACGTTTAGACGCGAGCATACTTAATATACTCGTATCTAATAGTATCAGTAAGTATTAATTCATATTAAATTACATTTTGAAACATATATACAATTTTCTAAAATTTCTTTCAGGAAAACATTTTTTCATCTCTGAGTTGCATACATTTTTATTTATTTTTTTTTATACCACGTCGGTGGCAATCAGGCATGCGGCCCGCCTGATGGTAAGCGGTTACCGCAGCCTATGGACGCCTGCAACACCTTGGGCATCACATGCGCGTTGCCGACCCTTTAAAAACCTATTTACTCCCCTTTTGAAGGACCCCATACTGTAGCCCTCTGGGAAAACCTCGGCAGGGAGTTCATTCCACAGCGAGATGGTCCGTGGGAGAAAGTTCCTATGAAACCGAACTGTACGGGACCATTTGGGCTGCAATGTGTGAGCATGAACTCGCTGTCGATGGCGAGCGGTGCGGTGATAGAAAGTGGCCGTGGGCATCATTTCGAACAATTCTTCGGAACACAACCCATTGTACAAACGATAGAGCACACATAGGGACGCAAAATCTCTTCTTAGACTTAGGGGCTCTATATCGCTTGTGAGTATTGGATCGTCGACAATTCTCACAGCTCTCCTCTGAACCGAGTCAAAAGGCCCAAGCTGGTATGCCGGTGCTCCCGCCCAGAGATGCGAGCAGTACTCCATATGGGGACGGACTTGCGATTTATATAAAAGCAGTCTTTGTCCCGGCGTGAAGTACCGCTTCGCTCTATTAAGCACACCTAGCTTTTTGGATGCCAGCTTGACCTTGTCTTCCAGGTGACTTCGGAACTGGACGTCGCTGGATATGTCGACACCAAGAATACCAATACTGTTGGAGATGGTTAGGGGTGTGTCCTGGAATTGAGGGGCCACAGTAAATGGGGTTTTCTTAGCGGTGAACGCACAAACTTGTGTCTTGGAGGGGTTAAATTGGACTAAATTGTCCCGACCCCAATCGGAGACTCTGGAAAGAATACTCTCGATTTGAGACATAAGTTGTTCGCGACTTTCTACCACAGCGGAGCGAGGGATGTTTGCACGGCCTGTGTAGAAAGCGTCTCCAGTGCTGTCGTCCGCATAGCAATGAATGCCATCAATAGACAGCAAGTCATTGATATGCAGAAGGAAAAGCGTTGGAGACAGCACAGAACCTTGCGGGACGCCAGCGTTTATATCTAGTTTTTCCGAGCAGCAGCCATCAACGACGACTCTGATGGATCGACCAGATAAAAAGCTGGCAACCCATTTGCACAAGCCCTCGGGTAGTCCGTAAGATAGCAACTTCGAGAGAAGACCCCGGTGCCAGACCCGATCGAACGCCTTTGCTATATCTAGGCTAACTGCCAACGCCTCACCTTGACTCTCGATGGCTGAAGCCCACCGGTGTGTCAGATACACTAGAAGGTCACCAGTCGAGCGACCGTGGCGAAAGCCGTATTGCCGGTCGCTGATCAAATCGTGTTCCTCTAGGTATCTGAGGAGCTTGGTATTAATAACACGCTCCATAACCTTGGAGAGAAGAGAGGTAATAGCGATAGGCCTGTAATTCGATGGGTCTGATCTATCGCCCTTTTTGGGCACCGGGTGCACATGGGCGGTCTTCCACGAAGACGGTACTTGCCTAGATTGGTAGGAAAGTGCGAAAAGTCGCGTTAGTACAGGGCACAACTCAGGAGCACACTGTTTGAGTACCACTGCTGGTATGCCGTCGGGCCCACTCGACTTATGAACATCAAGACTTAGCAGCTCCCGCCGGACTTCTCTTTGTGAGAAATTTATTTCCGGCATGGAGAATCCACACCGTGGGATGGTTGGCGGTGCGGCGCTTTCATTGACCTTCAAAGTCGAGTTTCTGGCAAAGAGTGTGCCTAGTAGATCGGCTTTCTCTTTGGCGCTATGGGCCAAGTTGCCGTCGGCATTTTGCAGTGGTGGTAAGGACGACAGACAAAAGTTCCCCTCGGCAGCTTTGGCGAGCGACCAGAAGGCTCGACTCCCGGAAGGGTAACTAGCCAGCTTTTCGCCAATTCTCCCGATGAACTCGAATAAAGCTCTGACAATTGTTTTTTTACTGGACCTCGAGACGGCATTTAGTTTGCGTTTCACATCAGAAAGATTTGGATCGCTATTACTCCGAGCCGTGATCCAAGCCCTGAACGCGGCTTGCTTAATGTATCTCGCTTTCTTACAAGGCCGATTAAACCACGGTCGTTTCTTTTTCCCGGCAGCAACTAGGGAGTTTGGAATGAAACATTCCATACCCGCCAATATTGTCTCGGAGACAGCAGCTGCGCAGATGTCGGGATCTTCTGATGTGAAGCACAATTGCCTCCACGGGTACGATGCGAAGTACTCTCGCAACCCATCCCAATCTGCTGACTTATACTGCCACATGCGCCGCAAGCTAGTTGGCCGAGGTGGATCTGGGCGCGCGCATGGTGCAAGAGTCCGGATAAGGCAGTAGTCGGACGAGCCAAGTGGTGCATCTACTGAGATGGAATATCCATCCGGACGTTGAGTCAGCAGAAGGTCCAGTATTGAGCTCGTATGGTCCTCAATATCTGGTATTCTTGTTGGAGAATGCACCAGTTGTGAGTAACCATAGGCCAGAGCAAATTCGTGAGCACACCTCCCCGCGTAGTCAGTGGACCGAGAACTGAGCCATTCAGTGTGGTGGGCGTTAAAGTCTCCTAAAATCACCAACTCCGTAGAGGGGTATTGCTCAAGAACTTTGTCCGTCGTCAATTGCAGGTGCTCGAAGAGTCTTTTTGTTTCCCTGTCACCGCTATGAGACCTGTAAAGGCACGCATAAATACGGGTGTGGCCACCGTAGTCCACGCGCACCCACAATATCGAAAGGTCCCTGTCCTCTAAATGAAGGAGACGGCGACAGCAGATATCCTCCCGAACGAACATGCATACACCGGCACGTCTTAGAAACTTATGTTCTAGTTTGTAGCCGGGATAGTGCAAGTATGATGTGTCGGCCGGGCAAGATATTTGCGTCTCCGTGAGGAATAGTAAGGTCGGCTGCGCAGTCTCCAGATGGTGATGGACTGCGCTGAGGTTTGCATGGAGCCCCCTGATGTTGCAGAAGTCCACTTGTGTGGAGATGGGAGCCGCTGTGTAACACTTTCTCTTTTTCCTTTTGTTCTTCATTTTCTTGGTGGGGGTGGTTTATAGGTTGTTGTGAGGATTTGTTGTGTTGATAGGTAAAGGGGCAAATTTGCAATGCAGACCAGCCACAGGCTAGCATAGGTAGTACGGGTTGTCAGCGCAGCGTACGAGAGGGCCCCCAGTCCCCCCCCACTGCAACAGCCGGGTCCACCCCGGTCTCCTCCTCCGGCACGACTGTTACAGCAGGGATTTTACGCGGGTTGGCAGTTCAGCCTCCCAGGGCGGAGATTAGGTAATCCCTGGGTTCGGGAACTCTACTGACCCGCGGGCGGCCAGCGACGAACCGTTTCACTGGGTCTCACTGACCGCTGTGCCCACACACCGCGCCTACACCGGCCGATGACTGTGCCGTTTGCATCACCGGCCCCTCCCTATCAACACAATAAATCCTCTGGAGCTCTGGATACCTTACTCACCGCAGGAACACAACACCGTCATAGAGCAGTGTTATTTGGCTGCGATTTTCTGTAAGGCGGAGGTACTTGCCAGTCGGGCTGCTCCAATTCGAGTAGGGCATATACCCCACTGTGCCCTACCTCCTATAATACATGTAGCTACCCTCACTTAATATTAATATTTTTTGAAATTCTTATAATAGCAATCATTTCCCTGGTATTTTTTTTTAATATTTCAATTACCTTTATAAGGCTCATAAAGCAAGTAGTGACCTCTATCACTTTGTTCTACAAGGAAATAAGTCCTGTTGTTCCTTTCTGTCATCAGTAAACTTTTAGCCGACCAATCAATAGGCTCTAGAACATGTCCCTCCAAAATATATTTTAGGTAGTCTATATGCTAAAATAGTTAATAAATATTTTATAAATAACTACTATAATAGAAAACAGAAAAATTAAATTGAAATATTGTAAATTTTCAATTCAATTAAATTTTCTTGTGATTGGCTTCAAAAGGTGTCAGTTGAGCACAGATTACTTCGCCAATGTCACGTAGAATGGAGGAGACACTAAGGAGATTGGTTTTCTTAAATTGTACTCACTATTTTTCTGGGTACAGAAAACTTCACAATCATGGGCGCCTGGGGTGGGGCCCAATAATAGAACACCATCCACTCGTCAGAAAGCACTGAATACGGATTAAACCTAGCGAATTTACTAAATTCCTCACAAGTAGTAGTTTCATTAGGATGTAAACCCTCAGGATATATACCACAAGATATAAAAAAAATATTTGACATCCAAACAGACATAAATAAAAAAATTATAGGTGTTTCTTTCATAGTAAAAATTAATGCACTTTCTACAGTTATGTATACCGTGTGGCAAATGTGTACATTTTGGTTGTCTTTTATGTGATAAGTACAGGATGTTTAGCATTTTTTAATTTGCAATGATAACATCAATACCCACATAACTCAATCCGTTAGTGCAAAAATGGCGTAACTCGTATTTTTGGAGTAAAAGTAGAATACTTATTTATTTATGTACTATCAGCTCTTTTTAGCGTCCCATTGCTGGACTTGGCCTCCCCTCAACGCGAGGTGGTCAGAACATAATCCAACACGCTGGCCAAGTTCTCTCATACATAAAGGGGGCACCTTTGGGGCTACCATTTTTTTAGTTGATCATATTGGAAAATGATTCCTGTATTTAAATACTAGAGGTGGCACGAGATTTGAACCCGCTTCACTTCGTTTTACAAACAAGCACTGGGCTCCTTAAATGTAGGCATAAATATTTTCTATACTTATTGTCTCCCGACCATTTACTCACTCAAAATTTATGTCATTCAGAATAGTCATTTTAAATAAAACATAAAAAAATAGGTATAGCTGTTCTAAATTATTAAATTATTTACTGAAATAAAATTTCACATAAAAAGAGTACATGGAATTTATTTAATAAGCACAGTTAATAAACTATGTCGAAAGTGCTTGGGAGTGACAGCATCTGCTAGTAACAAAATGAAAGTAAATTTTGCAATACAATTTGTTAATTTTAGCTATAACATTTAACCCTAAAATTTAATAGTATCGTAGCCACAGCTAGGGTAATTATGAACTAATTTTCAAAATCTATACATATAATATTCTAATTGAGCTGAATATGTACATGAAATATTTTTTGGAAAATCTTATTGAAATAGACATTATTATCGATAAAGAGGCCGAATCTATAGCTTTTAGAAATTTTGTCTGTCTGTCTGTCTGTTACCGCATCACGGAAAAACCACTGAACGGATTTTGATGAAATTTGGTATGATGATAGCTGGTTATCCGGGTCAACATATAGGATAATTTGAATTGCGGGACGAACCCGAGCGGAGCGAGGGTGAGTCGCTAGTAAAATATATATTATTGGATTAATTCCATATTATTTAGATTTTTTGTCATTCCTGACTCGGACGACCCAGAAAATCCCAGTGATTATGTTTGCTGTAAGAAATTCGAAACATTGGAGACAAAGAAACAAAATATAATCGTACAATTTAAAAAAAATAAAATTGTACAAAAAAAAATAGATTTATTTAAAGAATAATTTTTAAATATTCTGGTACATCTAAAAAAAATTACATTAACGTTCTTACAGATAATACTTATAGTTAATAGAATTCAAAAATCAGTTTTTACTTCTTCTAGCGCCACCAGGTATTTTTTCGATATTTAAGAATTTCTGTGATTCTTGCTCAAATTTTCTTTTTCTCACCAAATCTATCTCTAGCTTCTCCTCGTCTAGATCACGAAATGCTGGTTTCCCATTGCCTTTAAATTGCAAGGTTTCTGCTTCGCGTATTTTATCGCGGTCAGTGTCGGGCCCGGTGTTAAGTTCTGCCATTATTGTAGCATAATGTGTATCACAATACATAAGCACTAAATACGGATCATGGATCTTCATTCTTAGTGTTATTAAAGGTAATGTCATATTATCACCTAAAATGTAAAAAATATAGGTACATATATATGACAAAAATTGAAAAATGCTAAGTTCTAAAGTGTCAAAAGTTTTGTTATTCATTCGCCTCAGTTTAAAGTGTAAAGAAATTATTGAATAAATAGGTATTAAGGAAATAGAATCCATGCATATTAAAATAAATCAAAAATTTATACATTAAATATAATTTGAGTATTTATATGTAGAGTCAACAGCCCAATTTAACTAAAAAAAAAAAAACTTTTTTAGCTGATTTAATTGCAAATCGACTAGCAGGATCTTACTAGAATGTTTCAACGATCTAATAAACTATTTAAAAGTATAAGTAAGTTTGTAAGTTTCATTTCTTTGGTAAAAGTTGATTCAAATGCTTTCTAATGCGAATGTTCCCAAATAATATGGACGTAATGTGCAGTACTTATATATATATATATAATAATAAATAAGAAGTGTAATTCAAGAATACTAGTGTTCGCACGGTGTACTAATCAGAGAAAACAAACTCGGCTACTAAACAAAACATAACATAGGAGAAAAAGTTCCTGACCTGTTTTATCTTCTCTGTCTGCCTGCCTGTCTGAAAAAACAGGAATAAGCCACAAATAAAGTTGAACAAAGAAAAAATCACCTTTAAATGACGACGGTAACTCTTGGCCTGATATGCCGTAAAATAAACCTCTTCTATCTCCTGCAATCAACAACATTTCTCTCTTCTCTCTTAATAATAATTTTGGTTCAAACCAATTTACTTTTTTAATATAAGGGCCGTAGGTGGTTTTAAAATGTTGTACAGTCTAAAATAGAAAATCACTATTACAAGTACATCGTTTACATTTTATTTTAAGGATATATAGAGAACATATAAACGTATTTATTTTTTTATTATTTTACCCTACCTTCTTTGTTGGATATGTAAACGTGTGTACAACAGCTACATCGAGGCCTCTTTCAGACCAAATATAGAATGGCAGCCATTTAGTATTTATTATATCATCCGGATGAAAAACTGCTTTCTTTACAAATTCATCACAAGTTGTCCAGTTCTTTTTAATTTTTTTACCGGTTTTTCTGTAGAATGCATTTTGTTCAAAATATTGTGATATATTTACATGGTTTCTAGTGGGTATTGTGCGCTGTGTATTGAATATCGTCTTTCGTCTTCCAGCCAGAGGATATGCAATATTTCTTTCTAATAATTTGGAGAAATCAAACACGATCGGCTCTCGCATAGTTTTCTTTTGGGCACCCTTTGCACTTGTTGGAGTACCATAAATTTCTCTATATTTGCTAATATCTCTACTTTTGTAATGTTGAATTTCATCGCGTGGACTTAGAAATGTCAGGGAATCCTTAGGGGCTTCTTTTACATAATCTTCCTTTAACTTAGACAACTCTAGTTCTGGAAAGTCCTCACTAATCGTATCTTTTTTGAAATCTTTTCGGAATACATAACCAAAATCATATGACTGTTGATCTTGATATGGCTGAGCTATCGGCATTGGTAGATGACCTAGCTCCGTTATTGCCTTTACAACTGACACCAAAAGCAAAATAAACGGAGCTGGCATTTCCTCGTACTTCATTATTTGTGCATTCATTTCTTTGAGGCGATGTCTTTTTTTGATATGATGCACTCTCAGATATCATCAACATTTTTAAAAAACGTACATAAAATTATTATATGATTATAATAAAAATTAATTATTTATTTATATTATAATCATATAATATAATATTATGTTACTACGTAAAATGGTACAATATTATCTTCAACTTATAATTTCGTACTAGTACATAATTCAGTATTGACATTAATACTATTAATAAATGTAATTAATATTACTTTTTCTTATCAGAAACAGATCGCTCAGGTAAAAAAAGTTATTCATTATACAAATAATTTTTATTTACAATACAATAAATATTTTTTGTTGAAAAATAAAACTACATAGGTACATATAAATTACACAAAAATGGCTCACAACATCTGGAATTGTTGTAATGTTACAAATAGACGTTTCCATACTTCCTGAATGATACTTTATTATGAAAACATACAATGTAAAAGGTTGCAGCATTTCGAACGCTTTACGAAGTAGTTGAATAATAGTATAATTGAATCATGAGTTGTAATTTTTTTTGTATATTTGAATTAAATGTTATATTTTATTTAATTCAATTACTATTTGCAAAAAGATATTTTTAAATCATACGATTTTGTCTATTTAAATCTATTTTTTTTTTAATTAAGATGCTACTAACCTGTATCTAATATTTAAAAAATAATCTCGTAGACTTTTAGAGGCTTTGTCAATAATAAAAATGTAAAATTATAATAATTTAATTAAAAATATTATTTTAATCACTTAATCATCAATATCTATTTGATTTTCAATATCAATAGTTTCATCTTCTTCTGAGCCATCTTTTGACGTAGAAACTGGGACTCTAGCATTTCGAAACAAATATGAACGGTTATAATCGCCTCGAAAGCCTATTTTTTCAGCTGCCAATGTTACCTGTGGATACAAAATTAAGTATATATGTGCCAAACATATTCATCACAGGTGGTATCAATATGTGGATATTAATTTACCCGTAACTTTTCACTGTGGCCCTTCACTCGTACTCTACTTGGTTTTTTTTGATTACAAAAACATATAATTTGTAAACAAACCTATTTACTCTCTGAGGCTTGAAAGTCCAGATATTCCTTTTACTAATTATGTCAAAGAGCTATTTTATTTGGTAGGACCTAGACTTATAACTTCACAATATGAGGTTGGAGGAGGAGGAATAAATTTTCAAAAAATTGGGCTCCTTTCTTGACTTTCTTACGAATTTCAAAATTGTTTACTACACATTCATTTTTTTTATTATGGCAATATATTGTCATATGACACACGTTAATTACAAGTTAGTTTGTGTGTAACTTAACGTGTCAAATCAAAAATTTATATAATACAGGTATATGCAATACGAAGCGACATTTTAAAAACTAGGTACATATAAAAAATCAGTTATTAAAAATATTAGTAAAGAGTGAAGATAACCAAATAGACAGAAAGTACGGCATTACATATGTACATAAATAACAAAAGCAAAAACTAAAGATTTCTTTCGAGTATATAACCGTAAAAAGACTTTTAGTTGATGTAATCAAAAAAGCTTACATCTTTCTCTCCCGGCATTTTGTCTGCAGGAGCTAAAGCATAGCAATAGCGAGTTTTACAATTCATAATACCCAAATATCCAGGTTCAACCGTTTTCATTGCGAACATTAATTTAGGTATATCATTATTGTACTCAACTGAAAAGTGAATAAATACAAAATATGTTTAAATTCGTAACCATTATATAGTTAGTAGTACAGTAGGGCTCGATGAGTTCATACAACTTCAAAATGTGAAAGTTTGTATGAGTGTATGTTTGTTACTAATTGTAGACTATGACATGAAATAACATATTATAGAGTAGGTACTATTATGTACGGACGTAAGGAAGGAGCGAGGGTCTGTCGCTAGTTTTTCAGAGTTCCTGATGGATATTCCATATCCGGAAGTAAAAATATCCTCATAAATTAGAGCCAGATCTCGGGACTTTTTAATGACTTGTAATGGCAACTCTAGCTTTTTGTCCAAACATTAAACACAGAAAGACCAAATTAACTATTCCAAAAGTATTAATTTAGAATCACAACGACATGTTAAAAATTAAAACAAACCCTACGCAAATTAATTGTCATTTAACGATTACACTGGCAAGCGTGAAGCACTTAATCGAGTAATCATACGCCAAAATGCCTTACACCATATTGGAAAAGAGCTGATACTCTTACACTGCTGGACCGATTATAACCAAACATAGTCAAGAACCACCGCAAGGAAAGCGGCGTTCAAATGAAAAAAACCGCATTGGAATCGGTCCACCCGTTTGAGAGCTACGATGCCACAGACAGACCACACACACACAGACACACATCTATGTCAAACTTATAACACCCTTCTTTTTGCGTCGGGGGTTAAAGGTAAATCAATAAAATTAGGGTACATTTTTTAGGTAGATTTTGATGGCGAAATACGAAAAATACATATTACTCTTACATACAAATATCGTTTCGCCTATCCTGTCAATTTATTTAAAATCAATATAATTATTAAATTAAATTCATACCAAATAATTCCCTTACATTTAAAGGTTAATGATGGCACAATTCTGAATAGTCCTGATTTCTCAGTAGCAATGTAGAGAGCACTCAGATCTATTGAAGTCTCCATAAAAAAGACCGCGTTAGACCAGTCTACTGTGCTACTCATGTTTATTAATTCCACTTTAAAACGATCTACAAGCTGCAATTTTAACTTATTTAATTAAAATATAAACAATAGACATACATATAAAATTACGTTTTCTAACTCATTCAGATTCATCACATTTCAGATGAAATCGTTGTACTTAGAGTGCAAATAATTATGATATATTATATTATATAAATTCTTTTTAGAATATCTTTAAATATTTGATGATATAAAAGCCTATCATCCTAAAAATGGGCTCCAATTTAAAATTAGATTAATTAATTCACATTATTAATTAATTGATGCTCATTTTAGTAATGTATTTTTTTATTTATTACTTCATATCTTCAGCAACAGATGGACCTGATTTGTGACGTAGAAAGTGTTTAAAGAGTCGCTAATAATAAATACTTACAATAGGTGTTGCTAAACTAAACCTTATATTATACGATCTTTCCTCTTCATGGTTCCAGAAATAAAATATTTTCCAATCAATATCAATAATGCTATTAAAATCAAAAGTGCTATTTGGAAGGAACTCGTCACACGTAGTCCAATTTTCGACCCAAATTTGTTGATTTTTCTGGTCATCAAATCTATAACATTGTATGAATATAACAAAACTTATGTAAAACAAAACTGTTTCACACACTATTAATGGAGATGCTGAAGTCATTTTCTTTGCATTTATAAAATAAAACAGGTTAAGCTCAGACGATATATAATTAGTATGCTAATTAAATTAAACGTGAGTAAACTTTATACTACCAAATTTTGTTTATGAATTTCAAATTTGTTTATATTTTTTTTGTTACAATAACACCAACTGAGACATCCGTTCTTGCATATTTTAAACTCTTCTGATAAATAAAACAATTACTTCATTTCTAAACAATCATATATAATATGTATCAGTTGCGAAGGGTGAAATTTTAGCAGAGGCAAGCCGTTTCAAAAAAAACACAAAGAAATTTTGATATACAATTTTTATATAGGTACATACTAATGCAAAAAGAAATAAAGCTATTATATATATGTATATATATATATATATACAAAAGAACATTTATACATTAAAAAAATTAAATGTATGTAAAATTATAGCAAAATACATTTTAAGGTAAGACGTCTTATATGAACTCTTCGCCACTGATATGTATTAATATCATTAAAACCAAACTGCTGGATGCAAAGTGCATGAGTAATTTCTTTTTCTATTGTAATGCCACTTCCCCAAGTCAGGACAGAAAGCAGATTCGAGGATTTTGATTGAGATTATGATCCATCACCCCATATTGCACGACTCATTTCATTCCAAATGATCCTGTGAGCATTTTTTCCGGCAATAATTATATACCACGAAAATTGAGGTTAGATAACTTATTTACCTTTTTTTAAATCTCGAAAACGTATAGCAGTAGCTAATTTTACTTATAAATATTAATATTATATACTAGTGACTCAACCTCGCTTCGCTCGGGTTCGTCCCTAGGTACGTTTTAGTTTTTTTGGGCGGAACCCTAATTCTTTATGCCTAGCCTTATGCTACTCCTAGCTTTATGTTACTCCCTATAATATCAGCTATCTTCCAGTGAAAGTCCCGTCAAAATCAATCCAGCCGTTTCAGAGATTATCCGGAACAATCAGACAGACAGACACAAATTAAAAAAAAATGTGTTTTTCTTATAAGTACCGTATATAATTTCCTAGGCATTTAGTAAAATGCTGTTATTTTGACATTACAAAAAGACACTTCAATTTTATTTATCTGTAAGTATAGATTATTCAAACAATAAAAAGTATCTTGATCGCTATACAGACCAAAAACCCTTTTGCTTTGTATTTGCAGATTGTTGTCGGTTTCTTTTCCTACAGTTCACGACAGAATGCTAAACTAAATGAAACTCCATTAGACCTATTCCAAGATTGTCATCCAGCAATAATACCTAGCAGGAGGTAAGTACTGGACGAGTACAATAACATAGTTGGACGAAATTAAAGGTCGCACAAGAGAGTGATAAGAAGAAGTAAGAGACTACATGTAATTGAAATAAAATATCTTTTAACAGCAAATATAAAACGTAATACAATCAATATAAAAATAAATAAACAAAATTTTATTTCAAAAAGAACTGCTCTCCTTTATTCTTCTCTACAGTACATGCAGGATGACCATCTCCAATATCCAACAACGCTGCTTCGGCTGCTATCTCAGAACGGTACGGAGGATGATCAGGTCTAGCTGCCAAGGAAGCCCCACCAACGTGACAATCCATTACCAATAAAAATTTCCCTTGACGCAGCAATTTCATCTGGAACTTTAGAAGTGGCACTCCCTTCCGTAACGGGAATATATCTTAAATAAAAAAAATCTATAGTAAATAATTTGTGGTGAAAATTTTAATGAATCAAGTAGTGGACCTGATTGACTGAAAAAATTAAACATCAATTTGCATATGTCTGATTTGTCTAATCCCTTGGACGGCACGGCATTGCAAACAACAAAGTAGTCGTTTACTTTATTTTTTCTCAAAATTACGGAAGTTAAAAAATAGAAAAAAATAAACAAAATAAATACAACAAAATAATAAAGTACATAATGAAAAAAAAATTAATGGAAAATAAAGATGTAGTTAATAATATTTTTTCTCCCTCTCTATATTCCCAAAATAAAACAGAGTATATCTATATGTATGTACAATGTTTTGTAAGATATACTCACTGTTTGCTTCTCTTATAACATTAGGTACTGCTGAGAATGACCCAGCAGCACCTTGGTCAGCGAATAATAAGATCTCATGATTTTCCGAACCCATCGTCATGTGTAGCATCGCAGCATCCCACACTGGCTGGTGTTCCAAGTACTCGTACATATCTGACCAGATCCTCTTAATTACCTGTAAAAAATAATTCCGATATATAATAAACTGTCATCCTTCCCACGTAATAATTTCCCTGTAATTAAATAATTACTTTTACTTTAATGAAGAGGAAAGAAAATTTCGAATACTAACTCCGCGTGAAGCGTTTTTGAAGTTCATGTCCAAGCACTTAGTATCCAACTTCAAATTCCATGTGTAATATATCCTCCATGGTTTACCCACAACCATATCAATATCGAAATATGGATCCCTAGCTATTTTCATACATGTCTCTCGACTTTTTTGAAGTATATGTTGCTTTATAACCTGACAACTTATACAAGATGTTGCATAGAAAACTATCAAAATAAAACCGTATCGGTTAGAAGCCATTTCAAAAGTACAACAATAATAAATCCGCTGTCCTTTATAAAGACAATAGGTGAGAAAGTTTACACTTCTCTCAACATTTAAGCTCATTGTATTGTCGTTGTATCCGTATAGAGATTTTAAACATTAACCCACTAAAAGACTAATTCAATGAACTGACAGTATCCCTTCACTTTTTTACTTTTGTTAATATATAATAATTTAATTTTCAAGAATTATTGATGTAACTAAATCTGTACTTAAATATGATATTTGTACAGGTCATACTTCAAAATAATTACAGTACAAGTTACGTCCTCGTAGAATTGTGAAAAGAATGCTAGCTCCATTTCCTCGTTGATTTGCAAAGTCGATTCTTGGATGAAAACGAGCTAACCCTCTTGTCAGTTGTAAAGGCGACAAGACGAAGGTAGTTTTTAACACTCCAAGTTTAGTCAAAAGGTGACTCTACATATCTATATACTAATGTTTACTAGTACCTATTATAAAATCTTTCAGGCTGAGTGCGAATATTGTATTTCAAATTTATTTTGTTGGTTTGTTCATTGTATAAATAGAAACTTACTGTCGCAAAATAGTAACTTAAAGTTGGGGGTGATTTTCAGCCTCTCGAGACCATAAAACATAATTTTCTCGGAATGTCTAAAAATTTCAGTTACATTTTTTTTTATTTATTATATGTATTTGGAAGATAACATTCACTTAGTTTCATAAAAATCAAAAGATTATTCTAAAAATAAAAAATAAAAACCGAGTTTCTGCAAACTATCTCGAAAACTGAGGTTATTGTAAAAAGTATTATTTATAAAAGTTGTAGATTTTTACTAGACCTACAACTTCTGTAGAAAACATTTTTCGATAGAACGTCACAGTATGCCGGAAATTGAAAAAAAATATTTTTCAACGCTTTGCGTCCTCCCATTTCTCGGGCGTAGCTGGGCATTGTAGGCTTTTAACGAATTTCTATTCCTTACATACCTGCTAACATTTCATTGCATTAAACTCGGACCTTGTTGAAGTTCAGTCGTGGGCTGAGTCTTTCGGCCTTCTTGTGAATCCCACCAAATCGCAATGTATAATTTTTGGCAGCAGCAGACTGAGGTGCAAAATCGACTGGAACTCAATACCTCAAGTCCAGTTCTCTGGCGTTCCAATCCCTTATTGTAATAAAGTGAAAAACTTGGGCCTAATAATGGATTGTAACATGACCTGGGTAGCTCATGTCAACCAGGTCAGCAAACGAATGCATCACACTTTCCACTCTCTCAAACGTCTCCAATTCTAAAACTCAACAAATTAGAGCGTCTCCAAAATCTCGCTATACGCTTTATTTTTGGCTTGCGTAAGCATGACCATATATCAAACTTTCGTGCTCAACTTAAATGGCTCCCAATCCGCCTTCGCCGTGATATGCACATCCTTTCGTTCCTTTTCAATATTCTTAATGACCCTAATTCTCCTTCATACCTCCGTTCTCGTTTCCAAATACTCCCTACTCCTTCACGTTCCAGGCGGCCTTGCATCACTGCGACGCTCGATATACCCAAGAACAACACAAAGTTCCTCTTGCATTCTTTTTCGGTGTATGGCGCATTGCTCTGGAACAAACTTCCTAAAGAAATCCAACTTAGTCCCTCTATTGATTCTTTCAAAAAAAAATTAAAACAGCACCTTCTCACTCAATTAAATCAAAAATTATCTTAATTACTATTATTATGTATTGTATTATATAGATATGTATTTATGTAAGTAGTAGCGTGTATGTATATATGTACATAAGTATGTATGGTATAAGTAAGTAGTGTATATTATATGTTATTATATATATTATTTAATTAGCTATATATTTTTGAGTATCTATATATTATTTATATAACTACGACTGCACGAATTTAGCCCGCTTTGTAACACTATTTCTCACTACCACAGGTTGGCTGGAAGAGATCTCTTCTAGAGATAAGTCCACCTTTGTAAATAACAACTGATTTTAAATTACTGTATTGTTTTTTTTTAAAGTGCAATAAAGAATAGTATATAACATTTTAAAATCATAAAACTTCAGGTTTTCAATTTTATTATTTTTCTCTTAAAACAAACGGATTCCGATTGGTCTAAAAAGTCTTTATAAATCGATAAGTTGAGATAAAAAAAAATCATTTTTAGCTCTGAAGGTTAGCTAGCTTAATAAGTTCACTCATAACTTTCAGTTGATTTGACTAACTTTTGTATAATATGTTAAAAGTAAATAATGTAAATCCAATTTTAGTTTCAATTTAGATTCTATATATTAATCTGTATGAAATTATTTAGCTGTTGATTTTGTAAATTAAAAAATATTATTCTAGTATAGATAACATATCAAACATTTTATAACTATTAAAATAATACTAATTACATAGTCTGACTCTATATTCTTATAAAATAAATACTTAACTTAGCAAAATTTCTCTAACCTTGATAATTTATATGCATATGTATGTTGGTTATCAACGCTCTAACAAAATCTAAAATCCAAACTATTATTTATAAAGGACTTCTTGCCTATAATGAAAGAGTGTCAGCGAAATTATCTAATTTATATTATGATGATTGATGGCAGTCTTTTTTATTTTTGGCGTTTTTTATAGCCATTCGCGTGATATAAACACTGCACTCATTTGTTGTGTAGGCGTGTACGGCCACCGATGCGTATCTGTAGAATAGGTGGAATCGGTGGGCGGAATAATATTACCAGTTGTTATACAGTGACAGCCTGAACGTAATGACCGCACCGCCCAGTTTAAATTAAAAAAATAAACAACGTTAGGAGTTAGAATTTTTTAATTTAAATCTGCTTTGGAATCCAGCTTTTGATTAATTTTGGCATTTTAACTAGTTTGTTTTTCTGATAAGAATGCCCTTAATTATGTTATTATTGATGATTTTATTGACTTATAGCTAATTTATTACTTGAGGTAATGTTTTTAAAATCATTTGTGGAAATATTTGATAAACTATGTAATCATATGGCCTAAAATAATATGAATTTCAATATTGATCACACACTATGATTTTATTTAATCCATACAAGTATGAATGCTTGTTTGTTTATAAACAGTGAGCCCGAAACCAAAATATAATTTCCATATTTTATTTTAATTATATTAATATGTATGTATTTAAAGTTATATATGTGTAGTCTATCAACTATCTGGTATCATGGAACTAAATGGTGATGTTCCAATATATTTATTTAAATTTATATTTCTACTTCCAAAAACCACCGTCTTTTTTAACTCCTAAAGGGTTTTTTTTAAATCCTTTAGCTTAGCGATCACATTAGTTTTAAAAGGAACTCTTGTGCAAAATTTTATGCTTCTAGACCAAGCAAATTAGGCTGTACGGTAAATGTTAACTAATAGTACCTTAAGGGTTTAGGTTTTTACGTATGAGTAGGGTAAATAGAAGTTTTAAATATAAAGAAGTTTATATATTCTATAATATATGATATTAGTATTGAAAACAGTCGGATTTTATTATCCTTTTAGCTGTCTCTACTTTAACAAGCAAGTTATCTTTGAAATTGCAATGGAAGCACTTCATGCAGAGCCGGCATGTGAATTCATGCATTACTGCGTAAAATGGAACAAATAAACACACGTAAAATGGAACAAATCTATATTTATAAAGTTTATTTACGGGCATTCAAAAGAAATTCTACTTATTTTCGTTATATCTCGGGAATCTAAGAACATGAATATAATATTTATTATCGCAAGGCGGAACTCGCCGGCTGGGGGCGGCTTCATATTATTTATAACCGTTTGCCCGCTACTAAAGAACGCCTCTACTTTCTTTTCCATTAATGTTTTCATGTTCATTTCTAAATAAAAAATCTGATGCAAAGCCTCTTGCATCGCTGCTTCTTGTAAAAATATAGATAACAATAAGCAACTTATTTCTATTCGAGCAAGATATTTGTTTTGTATTTTTATAGGCAGTAAGGTAATATGGAGTAACTTTATATGATTTGCCAGCTGCTATCGGCAGATCAGCAGCCATGGACTTGTTTTTTCTAAAAATATCGAAAAATAAGGATCTAGTGCTAATTTTATATTTTTATAGGTATATAATATAAAAAAATGTTACCCTAACTCTATTTGTTCATCTCATATTTAAACCAAGTTAAAAATATGTTTTTAACGTCCCACGGCTGGACAGTACTTCCTTCAATGCCAGTTTATCTAATTTTACTACAAAATTACTACTATTCTTTATTGCACTTAAAAATCAATACAGTAATTTAAATACAATTAAATTATCAGACAATAGGTCACCACGGTTTTTAAGACTTCAGTCAAGATTCATGATATACTATTTACCTACAAATAAAAAAGTTATTATAAAATATTTATACCTATATAAATAGGCAAAGACAAAACAGTTCAGTGCCTTTTTCGCCTCTGTTTGTCAGCTGTTTTTTTTATTTAGTAAATATTGATGAGCTTCAATGTTATCAATAAAAAATAATTATAGGCAAAATTCAACCATAATCAAATAAAACTATCTTTTCGAAATTTTTCCCGACGTTTCGAATGCTTTACAGCAATCACGGTCACGGGAGAACATGACTGCTGTGATACACATTTTTATTTAAAATGTCAAATATTCGCGTAAATCTAAGAAAGTATTATGTCAACAATAATCATTTTTATTTTATATAATTACTAGCGAATTACTCTCGATTCGTCCCTAGGTTGCTTCCCATACAACTTATCGCACCCATTTTCACCCCCTTAAGGGATGAATTCTGGGATAAAAACTATCCTATGTACTTCCCAGGCTCAATCTATCTTCTTACCAAATTTAATCTAAATCGGTTCAGTAGTTTCAGAGCGTATTCGGTACAAACAATCAAACAAAAAATCAAATCTTTCCTCTTTTAATATTAGCATAGATTTAAATTTCAGTCTATATAATGATTCAATAAAAGCCCGTTATTAATGTTTTAACATATAACATAA